GTATTATGTTTTCTAATTATAAATAATGATTTATTTAACCCTGTATGTCCTAATCTGAGTCTTGATATGTCTGTTTCCTCCATCGTTCCTCATTTCTCCTACTTTATATTGAATTTTATAAAACCATCGACCTTTTCTTTCTTCCTCCCACTGTTTTTGCCATTTCTGTCTCATTTTCATCTTTATAATGCTTTTTATTTCTGTTTTACTGAATTTTATTTCAATATCAACTACTTTATTTTTGGTAGCCTTTTTTTGCTTCTTTATCTGCCATATCTTTTCCTTTTATTCCAATGTGTGCTGGTATCCAGATGAATGTTACTATTAATCCCATCATTTTAATCCTGTACAGTGTTTGTTGTATTTCAAATAATGTGTCTTATCTACTTTCTGAACTATTATTTTTAATACTGATTAATGAAGAGCTGGAGTCTGAACAAMTTCAGAGGTTTCTCTGCTGCAGCACACCTGATTTAAATGACTGGGTCATTAACAGGCTTGAAGGTAATTGCAGTAAAACATGCAGAAAAGCAGCCCTCCAAGTCCCATTGGACACAAGTGGTTTAAAACTATTCGAGCTACATCATTTTAATTTGTCTCTTTTTGAAATTTTACATTTCAAACCACGTAGAAAATAAATTATAGTAACTAAATACATCGTAAGAACGCAAAGCCCCTAACAATAAAAATGTGTTATATTGTAATGTTACAAAAATCGGTTAAAAATTACAGGTGTGGTTATTTTATCTCAAAAAGACACAAATGTGAACAATCATTAGCTTCAAACAGAGCACGTATCGACGACGAAATGAGCTGCGAAAATAAGCAAACAAACTTTTTTCTTTACAAACGCATGGACAGAAACTAGCATGTATGTCTGTGACCCATGTAATATGTTAGCTGTCCGCTAACATGTTTTAATTTCCGTAAAAACAAGAAATGTAAAACCACAACCTTTACTCACAAGCATGGGAACTCCATACTGGAAGGCTTTGTTCCTATGTAGCGTCCTCCAATTTAACATGACTGATCTATTTAGCTACATGTTCACGAACAGGTCATAGAAGGCATTTTTTTGGAGTGTCCGACCAGATAAATGGCTCGGCCAGCTACGAGGAAAGTAGCAATAGTTCCGTTGCCGTTTTTATTTTTAATTAATAAAAATTTAAAAGATAATATGGAGAGCCGTTTTATTAAAAAAACAAAAAAATAAATAATGTAATTAATAAAGTATTAATAAATATTCCATCAAATGAATAAATGTCCCTCTGAAATAAAACAAAATCAATAAACTATAATACATTTTATCATGTTATTTCGTCATTTATTTATTTATTTATTTAAGGAGTTATTTATATTCATAAATAATGTTTGGTTTTATTTACGTCGTAGCCTATTTATTACATATTGTAGTTTTATTTTGTGACACTTTTATTTTGTAAAGCTACTTTACATATTTGAGGGACTTTTGTTTTTAACTCCTTTTTTGTTTCCTGCTCCATTTCTGGCCCTGTGTTTGTTTTCATATCAGATACTCCTGCATCTTCCTCTCCTTCACCTACTTCTTCTTGATTCTACAGGTCCTTCTCAAAAAATTAGCATATTGTGATGTACTGATAGACATTAAACTTTCATATATTTTAGATTTATTGCACATCAGCTGAAGTAGTTCAAGCCTTTTATTGTTTTAATATTGATTTAGGCAAAAAAGTAAAGAAAACCAAAAATCCCTATCTCAAAAAATTAGCATGTCATAAAAAGGTTCTCTTAACGACTTATTAACCTGATCATCTGAATCAACAAATTAACTCTAAACACCTGCAAAAGATTCCTGAGGCTTTTAAAAACTCCCAGCCTGGTTCATTACTCAAAATACATTTATATAGGAGACAAAAATCAGTTGATGTAGTAAGGATCAGAGGAATAAACAGGTGGGAAGAGGTAATTATAAATAGTATAAGAACCAGGCACAGTTTTTTAAATGGAAATCTTTTTAAGATGGGGAAACACTGGTTTATGTAGTTGGTGTGATACTGTAGAAACGGTGGAACATGTTTTTATTAACTGTAGAAAATATGCAAATCAAAGAAGATTATTAAAAAACGGGATTAGGTTTTGATGAAGAATTGAAGTTTGAGAATGTATTTGATCAATTGGGAAGTAATGAGGGTAAAAAGAAGATTTTTTTTTGAATAAATATAGGTATTTTTATGAGAATTTGAGGTGTTAGGATCCAAGAGATGGCAGTAGTGCAACATTAATGAATGCAAGCTGCTGTTAAAGTCTAAAGAAGAAGAAGAAGAAGACTACTCAAAACGCAATCATGGGTAAGACTGCTGACCTGACTGCTGTCCAGAAGGCCATCATTGACACCCTCAA